CCTCAATCTCCTGGGCTCAGCGACCCTACTGTCTCAGCCTCCCAAGTAGCTGGGACTACAGGCATGCACCACCATGCCCAGCTAATTTTTTGTATATATATTTTTAGTTGGTCAATTAATTTCTTTCTATTTTTGGTAGAGACGGGGTCTCGCTCAGGCTGGTTTCGAACTCCTGACCTTGAGCAATCCGCCCGCCTCGGCCTCCTAAAGTGCTAGGATTACAGGCGTGAGCCACCGCGCCCGGCCTTAAATTTTTAATTGTATATTTAATTATTACGGATACATAAGAGTTGTGTATATTTATGGAGTACATGTGATATTTTGATACAAGCATACAATGTGAAATGATTAAATCAGGGTAATTAGGGTAGCCATCACTTCAAGAATTTATCATTTCTTTGTTAAAACACTCTGATTCTGCTCTTTTAGTTATTTTGAAATATACAATAAATTATTAACTATAGTTAAATTATTGTGCTACTGAATACTACATCTTATTTTTCTGTATAACTGTATTTTTGTACCAAATAACTACCTTCTCTTTAACCCCTCTCCCCACTACCTTTCTCAGCCTCTGGTAACCTTCATTCTACTTTCTATCACCATGAGTTCAATTTTTTTATCTTCCACATATGAGTTAGAACATGCAATATTTGTCTTTCAGTGCCTGGCTTATTTGATTTAACATATTGTTTTTCAGTTCCATTAATGTGTTGCAAATGATGAGATTTCATGCTTTTAATGACTCAATAATATTCCATTGTGTATATGTATCACATTTTCTTTATCCATTCATCTGCCGATGGACACTTAGGTTGATGCTATCGTGAATAGTGTCTCAATAAACATGGAAGTGCAGATATCTCCTTGATATACTGATTTTCTTTCTTTTAGGTACATACTCAAAAATGAGATTGGTGGATCAAGTGGTAGTTCTATTTTTAGTTTTATGAAGAATCTCCATCCTTTTCTCCTTATACTAATTTATATTCCTACCAACAGTGTATGAGGATTAGGGATGCTCACCCTTTAAGTACTTTAAACAGTGTTTGTCATAGTGTAAATGCTAAATAAGAGTTTATCATGATTGTCATGTTATAGTTAAACTGGTTTTTTTATTACAAACAAAACTATGTTTTATGCTTTCATAACAACTTACCAGATATATCATTCTGTTGATGGCCAATTTCAGTATAGATATATCACTATTCTCTACTCCATATAGACTGACTCTATTGTTAAATATATTGGCACTAAATGCCTATTATAGAATTATTAAAAGATAGAAGGATGGGCATTGGTATTATAAAGTGGCCAAACATGATGAAATGCTCATCTGAAATTAACTTAAAAGATAATATCTGTGGCTTTAGATGAAGAGGTTGGAAAACAGAATACTAGTAGCATGAGTTAAATGCTACATTTGAAAAGAGATGTATTCAGAAAAAAGAAGCTAATTTTCAAGCAGAAATTAAAAGGATAAATACACTCCAGAGACATAACACTAGTAGGTTGGGAAAGGAAACTTCTTCTCAACACAAATTAAAACATGAGCTCTATAGAATGGGTCAAATCAGGGGTATGGCCTTCACCTTGTTAAATTCTCTGTGTTTTAAGGTGGTACTTAGTAATGGCTCAGGGAGAAGACACTGAGACCTTAGCTATCTAGAAACCTAAGAGGTTCAAGATACACACAATTAAGTCTAGAGAGAAAGGCATGTAACTAAAAGAATTATGAATTTGTTTATATAGCACATGGGGATGACAAAGTTTAAATAGATAGGAATATAGCAAAGTGTTTGAAAGAGGTAAAAACTTAGTGTATTGACTAAAATATCATCAGCTTGAACTACAAAAGAGTATGACTATTAGAGTCTTAAAATGGACCTTGGGACCTCAATCCTATAGGAGCAGGAAGCAGACTAAGAAAGTTGCCCAACCCCAAGGATATAGCCAAGGAGTCATGGAAAAAATATCAAGCCACCTTAGGAAGCTAACCACAGGGAGCAGAACAAAAGCCAATTGATGGACCACTTCCCTCCTGCTCTCTGTCAGGGGCAGTGGCTCCTCACAATGCCTGTTCAATGAGATTTCAGTATTGCTAACTGTATGTAGTACTAGAATGGGGGTGTATTATAACCATAACCTTTTCCCTAAATTAGTACTTACACAGTGTTCATTGAGGGTAAATAACTTTTTGTCTGATTTTCAAACTAAGATAAACTACATTGAACTTGATGCAAATTATTTCAAAGCCCTGGACTTTGAGGCTGATTCAAAGATTGCATGGAGCTTTTGGATTTTCTTTCTCCTAGGGGAAATAAGTATATATTGCATGTGAGAAAGACAGTGACCTACATATTAAATATTTATGACTCAAATAGTAGGCTCTATTAGTCATTAGGGCTATTCAAAGATGTTGAGCACTTTCATTCCAGGCATGTGATAGAATTGTATTTATCTGCTACTTGAACTCAGATGTTGCCTTATGGCTTGCTTTGCCCAATAAAACATTAATGGAAGTGCTATGCTTCACTTCCAGGCAGAGGTATTAAGTATCAGAACATGGCTTTCAGTATTCTCTTGCACCCAATTCTGTGATAATAAAACTTTGTGTCAAAATGTTGCCTCTTTCAACTTTGCCAACCTACAGAGGCATGTAGTGTAGACAATAAATAGATTTTGCTGAGAGTTTTTTGGTCATTGGGTTTTATAGCATAACACAATCTGTCCTTTTGATTGATACTTTTATGAATCCTTTTAAAGATCTGTGAAGAAGCTATTGAATGTTCCTAAACAAATATAAAAAATAAATAAACCAATATTTGTAATATAATAACCATTCATCAGGAATTTAATGCAAACTACATTTTTTAATATTTTCAGTTACTTCCATTCTAATTTCTATTGGGAATTATTTCCAATAACAATGGTTACTGAATTGTTAACATTTTTGTCAACATTTTTAAAGAATGCAGAAATTCGTAGCAATATAGCATTTGGTTTTCTCCCAAATCTCCCAGAATATAATTCCATAATGCATTAATCTTCATCATTTAAAATAACTTTAGAACATCATGGCAATTTTTTACTTGTTCTCTTTCACCTCATTAGGCATATTGAACCTTTATTTTACTGCATCATTGAAGAATCAGCCAGTCCCATTTACTATTTTCAGGCATGCACCTATTCAGAAGCAGCTTGTCAGTTAGCCTTCCAACTTTCCTGCCAGAAACGCTGAAATAATTATGTCAGGACCAAGTGGACAAATTGCATTGCCCGAGAGTCCTCGTTCCCAGGGTGTTACAGAGCATGGTTCATTGGGGCTTTTAAGACATGAATTTTCTAGTGGTTTTATTATTTATCTTCAGTAAAATGACAGAAAATGCTATCTGTTTGATTATTCTTCACAATACAATTCACATTTGATTTATTTTAAAAATGTCAAAACTTTAAGAATGTGCTGCCACATTAATTATATCTATAAAAACTGACTCACAAAAGTGAGTTGGGAGGGAAGTGAATACAATCAGATAGCTGATTAGGAACAGAGAAAATTAGCTTATTAAATCAATTCACTCAGGCATCCCTCATTGTACTTTACACCTTTTAGTATTTCAACAAAATATATAAAATTGTCCATTTCAAAATCACTATTCATTTTCTCTAATATGTCTGACCACAAAAAAGTCTTCTCAATAGGTCTATAAAATGTTATTATCTTTAAGTCATTTGATTAAAAAAAAGGCAATGATATAACTGGATCAGGAAATAAGTATAGCGATAAAACACCCTAGCACTACTACTCCAAAAATGCAATATATTATTTCTCATTAAATTAAAAGAGCCTAATGCTCTTAAATTTATAGAATAGATTAAGACTTAAACAAAACCTTGCTTTAGATCTATGGGGTATTATTTCAAAAAATGTCTGGTGAGAGAATATTAACAAGAATATCAGAGAAACAATGAGTGGAAAGTGTATCAAGTTAGTAACATCTAGAAAGACTTCAGATGTCAATATCCTGTTGATTCTCTCACATTTAGAATTTAGATAATCACATTTGAGGGATAAAATTTTAAATGATATTTTAAATGACATTTTAAATGAACTTTATAAATAAATGCATGTTTTATACATGTTAAACATGTTAAAAGCAATTTCTTTTATAATTTTATAAAATTGTTTTTTTTAATTCAAGCCCCATTTGCCTTCACAATTCTGAGTGCTAGGTTTTGGAGTTTCCAGTTTCCTTAGGTTTTATTATAGGTTCTACCCATCTCAGACATGCCATGGATATCAAGGGACTTGCTCTACTTATAAAGTCTTTCTTTTACTGTCTGGTGAATGCCTATTTATTTTTCAAGACTCTATTTACATTCCAACTCAATAAAACCTTCCCTAACCCCCTCAGGCAGAGTTATTTGATCTTTTTTCAGTGATCCCAGGATATTTTGTTCACAGTACTTGTGTAACTTCACATATTATTACATTTTATTACAACATAAGAACTTTGAGGATAATTACTGAGTTTTTTTCCTTTTTACCTAAAATCGTGCAGACCACATGATAGGATGCATTTCAGATTTGTTAGATTGATGCATAATTCTACAAATAGTGATTTTGCCACTATAAATAGTGGCAAAGAGTATTAATCAATCCCCAACATCATTCTTTGCCTCTTCTTTTAGAAATAAACATTATCCCATCTGGGCATAGGGCTGTTAAGTTACAAACAAATTTCCCCATATCCCTGGGTGAATTATGTGAATAAATTCCTACAAATGATATGTGAACAAAAGTGATGTGTACAACTTCTGTGTAACTTCCAGAAAAAGAAAATACATGTCTTCTGCTATTCTCGTCACTTAGAAATCAGATGTGGTGCTGGTGAGGCAGTTTTGGCATGCAGACAAGGACTATACCCTGACAGATGGAAGAACAACAAGTTAGGAATAACCCGGGTACCCAGAAGACCTTGTAAGACAAAGCCACCTACCCACAATGTACTGTCCATCTCCTCTTGGACTGTGAAGAAAAAGAGAAATAAATTTCTATACTGTTGGAGATACCACTTTCGAGATGTCTGTCTGTTACAGAAACTTTGCCTATATGCTATATGATATCCTATATCCTATGCAATATAGCCTCTTTGTGTAGGGCAGTTAGTCCCATGGCAAGTACCGTTAGCAACTTTTAATTCTGGTAGATATCATCACATCCTCTCTCTAGCTGCAGTGGTTCCTATTAGTACACAGTAAACAGCAGTACCCCAAACCCAAGCCAATACCGGTGGCACCACAGTTCCAAACAGTAACAGCAGCTCTAAACACTTTTCCATCTGGGGCCAATACCTCCACTAGTTCCCAACAGTTGCTTGAAGCTGTCTCCCATACATCATAGACTTGACAATATCACTTTTCTGATATTGTCTGTGGCATAATGAATCATCCATACTTACCAGCTTAAAACATCAACTCAGTATGTGCTTATAATTCTAGACAACAATTTTGGCTAATATCATTGGGTGGTTCCCCTGTTCTTTCCCGGGATGACTTACTCATGTGGCTGTGATCAGCTGGCATCCCAGTAGTGCTTGAATGGACTAAGATGGCTTTGCTCTCATTCATGTTTGACAATTGGTGTTGACTGTAGGCTGGGATACCTTGAATCCCCTCCACATGGACTCTCATACTATAGTGGAGTAGTGGTGTTTCTTGGCTTGGTAGCTCCAGGGAAGATTGCTAACAGAGTGATAGAAACAGCTTTAGTACTCCTTGAGACTCTGCTTTGAAGTTGTATAATGTTTATCTTCTTTCCTTCTGTTAGCCAAGGAAAGTCACAAAGCCATATTGAATTCAATGCAATAAAAAATGTTTGATGAAACAAGAAAGCAGTTTAATTGGAAATATTTTTCCCTTGAATCTATAAGCCCAATTGTGATTTAAACACACAGCTATACCACCATCTCATACTCATTAGGATGGCTATTATCTAAAACAAAACAAAACAAAGTAGAGAATAATATCGGTGAGGAGGTAGAGAAATTGTTACCCTTGTATACTGTTGGTAGGAACATAAGATGGTGCAGCTGCTGTGGAAAACAGGATGGCAGTTCCTCAAAAAAATAAAAATAGAGTTACTAGATGATTTGGTAATTCCACTCTTGAGTATAAACCCAAAATAATTGAATGCAATACGTGAAAGAGATATTTGTACACCCATGCTCATAGCAGCATTACTCACAATAGCCAAAGGATAGAAGAAACTCAAGTGCTGACCAATGTATGAATATGAATGGCTAAATAAAATGTGGTATGTGTATATGATGGAATATTATTCAGCCTTAAAAAAGAAGGAAATGCTGACATATGCTACAACATGGATACATCTTTAGGACATTATGCTAAGTGAAATAAGCTAGTCCCAAAAGGACAAATGCTATATGATTCCACTTACAGGAGATACCTAGAATAGTCGAAATCATAGAGACCCAAAGTAGAATGGTTTTTGCCAGGGGCTGGAGAGAGGGAGCAATGGGAAGCTGTTGTTTAATGAATACAGGTTTTAGTTTTTTTAAGATGAAAAAAAGTTCTGGAGATTAACAATGTGAATGTACTTAATGCTATTGAACTGTGCACTTTAAAATGGTTAAGATGGCAGATCTTGTGTTATATATATTTTACCACAATAATTAAAAAAAAAACACAAATTCTTTGACATCCTTTGCAAGGAGGGTTCTCTTAAGTCCTTGTCACTTAAATCTAAATGAGCTTTTGATTTGCTTGAAACCAATAGAATGAGGCAGAAGAATGATGTGTGAATTCCGATTCTATGTCAGAGAAGGCAGTGTAATTTCTGCTCTGTTTGCTTACACAGTCACTTGTGGAGCCCAGGGTTGCCATATAAGAAGTTTGATTACCTTGTGGCCACCACTTTGTGGTGAGAAAGCCCAGGGCACATGAGGAGGTGATGAGGAAGCGCTATCAACAGTCTGAGCTGAAGGTCTCAGAAAACAATCAGCTTTAGTTAACTGACACAAAAGTAAAGATTCTCGTCCCCAGCCATAGAGCAACACCCATCTTGGCCATGGGGAAACCGTTCATTTTACCAGAGTGGATTCACGTCAGTGAATGGCAAAAGATTACGTGAATGTTCATGGCAGCAATATTCACAACAAGCAAAAAGTGGAAACAGCCTAAATGCCCATCAACTGGAGAATGAACAAACAAAATGTGGTCTATCTTTACAATGGGATATTATTTGGCAATAAAAAGAAATAAAATGCTGATATGTGCTACAACATGAATGAACTCTGAGAACATGCTAAGTGAAAGAAACCAGTCACCAAGGACCACATATCGTATGATTTTATTGATCATAATTTTATTGATCACACATCCCCTTGAGACTTTCTAGCTGAGGCCCCATACATCATGAGACAAAGACAAGCCATTCTTACCATGCCTGACCCTAAGTACATAGATTCCATGAACTTTATAAAAAGTTTTAAGTCTATAAGTTTTGTTTTATAACAGGTTGAGATATAACTCACATATCATAAATTCATCCTTTTAGAGTGTATAATTTAGGGGATTTTAGTATATTTACTAAAGGTGCTACAACCATTACATTTATCTAATGTTAGAATATTTCATCACTAAAAGAAAAACCCCATGCCCATTAGCAGTCACTCCCCATTCTCCACAATTCCAGTCCTACTTTAGTTGTACTAGTACTCTGGAAATTTAACGTAAATGAAATCATAATATGTTGCCTTTTTTTCTTTTTTCATTTTTTTAGAATGAGATTTTCAAGGTTCACCTATATTGTATTAATAGTGTGTATTAGTATTTTGTTCCTTTATATGACTGAATAATATTCCATTGTATGAATAGATCACATTTTGTTCATCCAATCATCAGTTGATGGACATTATTGTTATTTTTACTTTGGGACATTATTAGGAATAATGGTGCTATGAACACTTGACCACAAGGTTTTGCTGGGCGCATTTTTAACTTTCTTGGATATATATTCATAAATTGTATTGCAGGATCATATAGCAATTCATTTTAACATTTTGAGGAACTGACAAAATATTTTACAAAGTAGCTTTTACATTTTATAATCTTACCAGTAATATACATGGGATCTAATTTGTCAGCATCCTTGCTAGCATTTGCTTTTGTTTGTATCTTTTATTTTAGCCATTCAGTGAGTGTAAGGTAGTATATCATGGTGGTTTTGAAGTGAATTTCCCTAATGACTAATGATGTTGAGCATCTTTTCAAGTCCTATTGTCAATTTGTATGTATTCTTTGGAGAAACAGCTATTCAAATACTCTGCCCACTTTTAATTGGTCTATTTGTCTTTTATGATTGAGTCATAAAAGTTCTTTAGATATTCTGGATACAAGTCCATTATGAAAATATGTGATTTTCAAGTATTTTCTCCCATTGTGTGGGTTGTCTTTTTAGTTTCTTGTTGGTGTACTTTGAAGGATACAGTGCAATGTTGATTCTCTTGATATTTTCTCTTAACATTTGATGATATACAAATTGCTAGTTGGCCATATGGTCAAAGAAATAATTAAATTAACAAAAGTAATATTGATTCTGAACACTTTCTTCAAGAGGAAATAATTTCCTTAATTTTTGCCCTAAGTGGTATATCCTCATTTACACTACACCTAAAAAGTGTAGTATAGTTTGTGTAGTTTGCCTTTAAAGTGTAGTTTGCCTTTAAAAAGTTAACGAGGAATATCAAATATTATAGCTTTTGCATTTCTACCTTCTGAAAAACTGCAATGATGAAAATTTAGGTTAAATATATTTCCCTTAATGGATGATAAACTTGTATGTGATTATATAATAATGTAATGTGAAACATTATAAAACAAGGCTTTAGAAAATATTTTATAATAAAAGGCTCCCCAGACTGGACAGAAAAAGGCGATGGATTAGCTACTCTATTCAATCTTTTTATCATAAGAAGTGTGTGCTGAGTTTCTCATATTATCCTTGAAAAAAAGATTCTTATATTAGAACAGATGACATTCTAATAAAGAAATTAGGCATTTAATATAAGATGAATTTTTAGTAACTTTCCATTAAAAGTTCCCTTTTTATGTTTTCCATAAAATATTATTATAATATACTTTGATTCACCATAAATAATAAATGAATTAATATTTTATTACTATGAATTGATTTGAACATTCAAAAAATTGCAATATTGTATCTTTGTCAAGAATTAAAATTTTCACGATGAGAAGCCAGCTACTGTTTCTTATGTAATTATCTAATTTACATGAAGGCCCACATAACTTGTCTTTGTTTTAACATTAACATTAATAACTCCTATTTTTACTGGTACTTCAGACTTGCCCAATTAAAATAAGCTAAACATATAATGAATTATAACCCTGATGAAATTACAGATTTATCTATTAGCATTTTATAATCTAATAATGTTAATTCAAATAGAGAAGGGAAGTTTAAGGTATTCTACTTGCTGCAGAAATTGAGGATATTAAAAAAACCAGATGAGGTTAACTGCTTAAAGATATCAGTAATGAAAGAGGCACTTTTAATCCTAATCATCTACAATATATGGCAACTGTTGACAAGATAAATTAATAATTGACCTAATGTCTAACCAAGGCCACAGCCCACCTTCTGTTTCCCAGCTGCTCAGTGATGTATCAGGAGACAGTGTTTCATAACACTTTGTGAGCAGCAGTTCTTTAATGCTTTCTGTCATGTGGAATGTAATAGCAGTGGTTACAATCAATAATTCTGAACCTAATAGAAAATTCTACTCCTCAAGAGTTCTACTGGGAATATATTTTTCTTTACACAGGCAATGAATCCAACATTATATTAAAGTTTTATTTCACAGAGTTTAGATAAACATAATCAACTCAATCAGATACATATTCAAAATCAAATTTTAAGATTTTATGAATTAATTAAAACAGCTATATCATTAAATCACATAGTGTAAAGTTTGTGTAATATAAGACAATTTTTCTTTAGCATCAGTTCACATCACTTACTAAATGATCTCAAAAATTATAAGAAAACAAAACAAGCAAAATAGAAAAATGAAGGGAAGGACACAGGTTTTCTAAATGGTAGGCTAGTTGGTATAGGGAGCCAAAATAGTTTTTATTCACTAGTTTTCAAAATTATTTGCTCTAGTGTGTGATATTGTCTATATGAATTTGGTGCTATTTGCTGCTGAGAATTTTGGATGAAGAATGGATTTGCTAAAACCGATTTAATACAAATATATCTTCAGGATTATTTTTTAGCAAAACTATGATCTCTGAATTAAATAAGTGGGAAAATTTGAAATGAAGTAGAAATAATGCACTTTTCATTAGATGATGATGTCTTTGGATGCACTGAGGTAGTCAGAGAAGATTCTTTATTTTTAACCTAGAAGCATTTTCATTTTTTAAACGTAAAACCTCCCTGTCGCTCTGTCTCTCTCTCCCTCTCTCTTGTTAACAATCAGTCAAGTCTGTTTGATTGTCTCATGATTATTTCCACAAGGTTAACTTCCCCGAGGTTGCTTGTGGCTGCTTTATATTTAACTCCTTTTCAGCTGTTGCCCAAACTCTTATAACTGCACGGTGCAAATATACACAAATGAGGAGCTCAGTAACAATAAAACAATATAGTACATAAATAAATAAAAACACTGAAAGAGTCATATCCAGCCTACACACATTTAAGTAGAGAGTGGTAGTGGATATTCAGAAAACATTCTGAACTGATGAGGCTGTTCTCAATTGATTGCAAGTTAATCTTTGAGAAGCTGAATTTATAATTTAGATGAATGATTACAGAGAGCTTTAAGGTGAAATGGGACTTAGATAAATTTAGCAAGAAGGGAGACCCCATGAGTATGGGATGAAATGGCATGCATAATAAAGTGGAGGAAGTAAGAGCTCTTGGTGCAGTGCATATTGGTGACGACGTTGCCTTAGCCAGCTTAGATGGGATAAAGTAGGAAATACCAACCATGGCTGTTCAGTGGAATCATCTGGTAAGCTTTTCTGCCCCGTGTGTCCTCTGCTGAAAAAATACAAATAAAATATGTGGCAGTTTGTCAGGCAAATTAGCAAGCGACAGCTATGGACAGGAGTAGTTGTCTTGTATCTATCCAATAAAGCAGCACCAAGCCACTTTCTATCTTTGGGTCTCATAGCTTAAAACATTCTTATCCTATAGCCACACCGTCAATAGAGAAGGTTGATGTGGCAGAGAGAGAGAGAGAGGGATGAGAGAAAGAGAGAGAGAGAGAGAGATAACACATGTGAACACTGGACTACTCCAGGATTCAGGTAGTGAATGCTTGCTGTTTGGATGTTATCCTAAATGTGTTAACTCATACATTTCTTTCCCCTTGCTTCTCGCTGTGTGTTTTAAAGTTATTCAATGACCATCCCATTCTAGTATTTTAATTTTACCTGTAAACATTTCCATTCTGTGACCTCTAGAAATAGCTTGCTTAGTAGCATTCTTGGAGGCCACCATCGTAACAACGTAGTTTCCCACATGGCATATCCAATATGCTTTCAATGTTCTACAGGTGGTTTTAATATGCAGCTGCGTGGGTTTGATAACTGCTGGTAAAGAGAATTTGAAGATCTGAGGGAAAGTATAGATGATGGAAAACTTTAAAAGCGAGGTTCAGAGATTTATGTTTTATTACATAGGAAATCTGGAGTCCCTGAAAGACACAAGTAACAATATAAAATTTGTGCATCTTGAAGATTCACTTGACTATGTATGCAAGTGGGACTGGAGGGGGAAAGAAGACTAGCAATGAATTAGAATTGTTGAAAAAGATCATCCTCATGAAATGCATCTGTAACAGAATGATAGGATCAGAATGAAAAGAAAGAGGATATCTGGGTGGTCTTAGATCCAATTACTTCCTACTTCGTATTATGAGGGTAGTATTAACCCAATATAAAAACCAGGAAAAAATATTATAAGAAAATAAAATGACCAGCCAATATCTAATATCAACATAGAATCAAAAATCTCTAACAAAGTTCTTACAGTATAAGCAAATGCAGCCTGGCAATATATAAAAAGGCTATACCATGTACAAGGGTGATTAATGCTAAAAATGCAAGATTGATTTAACTGTAGAGATTGTCTCAGTTTTGCACTCTATCCTCAGTTTCCACTCTATCCTCAGTCCCTGCCCATGTAATAGGGTCATCAACTGTCCCCGGCTGCCTGGGACTATTCCAGTTTTAACAGTCTTACTTTCCAGAACTGCTCTCCGGGAGGTAGAAAGTGCTGGTTTTTTGGTGATGGGGCAAAAAGGGAGGATTGTACAAAATTCATACTGCAGTCCCCAAAATAGTGGCTGAAAGCAGTCATTTTTAGTGACAAAGGAATACTAGATAATCCACCTTCTGGAGTTGCTTTCATTGTATTTCACCCTTTCCGCTGATGTTGGCAACCATAGTTTGTGGTTCACAATGCTGGATCATCTGTTATTGCATCACACTGACTGAGGCGACATAACTGTACAATTTGATCAGCATAAGTGTTCGCAGTTCATCTTTGACTTTGTCCAGGGATTGACTGTCATGCTTTGTATTAAGATAGTGCTACTTTAGTTTTTAACATTGTGAATATTGTGACCATGTTTTCTAAGACTTAAGACTATCAAACAATTACAATACCAAAACCAGCATGAGCAGGACATCACCAAAAAAGAAGGGCAAATTACTGTGCTCTTTTAATAACATGTGGAAGGAGGCATATAACTGAAATAGGGAGGTAAATAATCAAAACAGAGCACAAAGTATACTATGCAAAAAAGAATTTGGGCCTAGACACAGTGGAGAAGGAGGTGTGAAAGCACACATGAAGATTGAATCATTCAAGTCCAGTGTGAGATAAGCAAATACTTCTAAACCAAGAAAAAGCCTTTTCATCTCCCCCAACTGATGCTCAGTTTAAAATAGCTACTGAATTTGTTATGGCATAACACACGATCAAACATACATTATCACACTGTTCCTTTGATCGCTCCATTAAACTCAATAAGCATACATTTCCTGATTTAAAGATTGCAACTAAAATATTCTGTAAAAGTACAAAAGAAGAATTTTTTTTTTAGGCAGAGTCTCAGTCTGTTGCCCAGGCTAGAGTGCCGTGGCATCAGCCTATCTCACAGCAACCTCAAACTCCTGGGCTCAAGGGATCCTCCTGCCTCAACCTCCGGAATAGCTGGGACTACAGGCATGCGCCACCATGCCCGGCTAATTTTTTCTATATATTTTTAGTTGACCAATTAATTTCTTTCTATCTTTTTAGTAGAGACAGGGTCTCGCTGTTGCTCAGGCAAGTTTCGAACTCTTGACCTTGAGCAATCTTCCCACCTCAGCCTCCCAGAGTGCTAGAATTACAGGCGTGAGCCACCATGCCTCCCCTAAAAGAAGAAATTTTGATAACAGATGTGGTGGTCCCTTATAGTGAAGATAATACAAACGAAAATTTTGGCAGGTTTAATTGAGTCCATAAACATCTTCATCAAAGAAAACTGAAAGGTCTTAACTACGAAATGTTCTGCACACCTTGTATATAACACTCCTAAAAAGTGTGTAATTTTTATTTGCAATCTTGAGGTTTTCATGAAATTTTTTGTTTATTTTTTTTTCTTCAAAATGTTTAGAAGCAGTTAATGAGATTTTTTAACTTCATTGAAATGGAAGGAGATAGTCTCCTTAGACCTATATTTACAAAACAGTTATTATTAATATTATTGTCTGCCATAGACAATATGTTAAAATATTGCCCTGCCAAGAAATCACATTTTCAAAGTGCAGGACAAGAATAATGCCTTCTAATTAAGAAATATAGCACTAATAAGGATAATAAAATATTACTATAAAACAGAAATTCATATTATATTTCTCCAAAATTTATGATCTTTAAAGAGACCATAAGTTACCAACAAAAGGATGAACTGACTATACTTGTGTTGTTTGATGTTATGTTTAGGTTGCAATAAAAACTTACAAAGAAAAAAGAAGACAAATTTTTTGGAAGTAAGACTGCTTTGGAACTCAAAAACATGTCACCATGTTAGTGCAGCCAAGTTAAGCACAGCTTTCACATGTCTTTACTAAAACTGTGACTGTTTTAGAATTCAGCTCTCACAGTTTCAAATTACTTTTGTGTTTTAAAACCATTTTCCCGAGAAAGAGAGATTTAACATGATGATATCCAATGTGCTTCATAGAATTTAAAAATATTTAGCATTTTACACATAGACAGTTTATATGATAAACTTATAGATCCAAAATACCTCATTGACAAATAGCTGGTCTACCAAAACACCTTCGAAGACGTAAAGTGGGTGGCCATTTTTGAAGAGCTAAAAATCATTTCCATGTGTCTAATAACTTGCTATTGCTAGTAGGTAAAATCTGAAGTGCCCACTCTCAAATGCTTTCGTTGAGTGAATATTTGGCTTGATGCCATCACATTGGATTCATACCAGAAAGCATCAGTGTAATGCAGACTTGATAAAAGCAGAGATACAAATCAGAATAAAGTTTATGATTATTTCAATTTTTCCACCATATAAAAGAACAAGTTTTTTAAAGGCTGTAGTCTTATTGGGAAAGTATTATCATAAAAGGAAAAAAAGAGTAAATATTTCCCATTGTTCTTTAGGATAAAAGAAACACACCATTGCTGTTTTTATTAAATATACATCAT